ACTTCACCTACAAGCGTCGGTCGCTCGATCGGTATAGTTCGCTTGCGGACTACACGCCACGGAGTTCGTTTGTACGGACAACTTTACCTCTACCACTGTGTTGACAGTCACAGTTAATCGGTGCAGTGTAGTCATATTTGAAACAATCAATCGATCAGTCAGTCAGTCAGTCAGTCAGTATCTCAATCAATCAAGCATATTACACGTCCTGGAATCTCAGCGACCTTCGATTGAATTACCAGGACTAGATGCCTCGGCTGGTGGAGCCAGTTAATTGACTCGGGCAATTAATACATCCAACGTAACTGGTGCAGAGGTGTATACGCGAATAAATACAGATTAGTGGTGATATTGTTGGAGGCAGTGGGAAGTTGCACTCCGCAATCAAGAACTGTTGACAAGCGTTCTCTGTCATTCTGCGTGCCGAGGCCATGCGTAACATTTCGTAACAAACTGATTTCTACGGTGAAAAGTTATTTTAGCTGCCATATTCCGTGATTTTAGTCCGCAAACGAACTATACCGACCGACGACCGCCGCTTGTCGGCGAAGTTAGTGCCAACTTTTGCGGAAAGAGGGTGTCGCGTGGTCAGCGCAACGAATCCCCACGGCCGTTAATTTCAGTTTTCTAGACCGGAGCCTCTATTTCCTTGAAATAGCTCCTCAGTTATCCTCACGAGGCTGAGTGGACCCCGTTCCAGACCCACTAATTCTCAGAAAAAAATCTGGTAGCTCCGGGAATCGAACCCGGACCTCTAAATCTGTAGCCAGGAACTCTGACCACTACACCACAGAGGCGGTATTTTACATATCACCGGTCTTAATATTCGTTTGGTGAAAATACAGAAGTGGTGATCACAGATCAAACAGCGGAGACATTGCAGTGTACCGAGAGTTATGGATTTACTTTCTGTATATACGGCTGAAAGAAAGAGTTATTTGAAATGAGATCTTTTCAGTTTGTTAACATTTCCCTGCGGACCTACGAGAAACCAAAGCGAAAGAGATATATCTGTCAGTTTCTGAGGCAAGCTGCCAAATATTTGTGACATATTGCAGCTCGACTTTCAAATGTACAAATACACGTTTGTCTGGCATAAGTTTCTGGCACAAGAGTAGCGATCTGTTAACAAGATGTTGCGTGATAAACGGTATTACATCCCGCTTCTGAATCTAGGCTTCTTAACTTCCTGTAGGCTACACACATTCATCGCCAGTAAGAATGAGATAAGATTACAAGGTGGTAACAAAGTTTCCAGCCGGTCACGGTAGCCGAGTGGTCTAAGGCATGAATTGTCTTCGCTCGCTCGGAACCCGAGATTGTGGGTTCGAATCCCACACAAGGCAAGGATGTTTGGTGTGTGTATGAGTTTATTCTGTGTTTGTGTTGTCCTGTGTTTAGGTAGAGGCCTTGCGACGAGCTGATCACCTGTCAGAAGAGTCCTACCGTCTATAAAACTCATAATGAAACTGAGAAATCGGCCCTGCGCTCCAGACTTTGGAGCGAGAGGAGAGAGAACAAAGTTTCCAATTTGAAAATGCTTTAATACTTTATTTCCTATAGGCCCTACATCATGAAGAATACTGTGATACGTGTGGGCAAAATATTCTCCAGAAAGCACATTGTAAAGTGCTCCAGTCCTCACCACTCACAAGCGGTTAGTCGCTGGCTTTCCACCGCAGCGGCCCGGGTTCGATCCCGGGTCTGGTCAAGTCGGATTTGTGGTGGACAAAGAGGCGCTGGGGTAGGTTTTCTCCGAGTACTTCGGTTACCCCTGCCAATCTTCATTCCACCAATTGCTCCACAATCAGCCTCACCTATCATCTGGGGCTGGTACAATAGGCCAGAGGGACTTAATCCCAACCCACTAGCATTAAAAAAATAGAGGATGGTTAAAGAATGCAAACTGAGAAACTCACATTAATATTTCGCATTTCGTGTACTTCATCTGTAGTGCCAGTAATACACACTGTCACACACTACCGATACTGATAAACCATTACGTATCTGCACTGAACATAACCACCCCGCAAGTCCAGCTCGCGTCAGCGTAATCGTGAAACTAAACCTCAGTTCAAAGCGCATATTTACACGATGTTTTACGTCCATTTGCCCTACAATGGTTGAAATTATACAGTTAATACGCCTTGCATGCAATTTAAACTTAATATTTTAGCATTTCACCGTTGGCAGTACTACTTTTTCTTTTTATTAGTGTATCCATGTTCTACAGCTGAATGTTTGTCACGCTGTGAAGTACCGATCATGTTTTATATATAGTGATAACGCGACTAATTTTTATTCGATTGGTATTAGGTTCGAATATCAGCAGGATATCTGCTACCCAACTTCTGTTTATCATGGTTTACCTCAGTCTTTCCAGGCGAATGCTGGGATATTACCATGGAACAAACCAATCTTCTCCAGTCTTTAGAACCTCAACACACTGCCATAATTCTTAAACGTAGGCGTTTAGTTGCATGAGGATAAACGTGTGGACTATATTATTTATGTCAGAAAATAAAATTGACGCATTGCGACGAAGTCCGGGATAGCTCAATTGGTATAGCGACTGGCTACGAGCTGGACGACCGAGGGGTCGGAGTTCGAGTCCCGGTAGTATCAAGACGTTTCTCTTCTCCACGTCGTCCAGACCAGCTCTGGGGTCCACCCAACCTCCTATCGAATGGGTACCTGGGGTAAAGCGGCCGGTGCGTGCAGCTGACCAATCACCTCCAACTAGTGCCGAGGTCAAGAAAATATTTACCTATACATCCACTACCCCCATATGTTTTCATGGCGTAGTGCTTAATTAGTTATGCACTGAAATAAAGTTTTCTTACTCGACGAAGACCTGAGTAGTCCAGTGTTTCTGATTTACCAGTTCACGTGGTTCTTTGTTCTGTACCCTGTCAGCAGATTCGACAATACCCGCTGCGCATTCGTTTGATGCCAGCCCCGTATAAAATCTTCCAGCTACGTATATGCAGCCATAGTACGGTGTTACTGGATACTCCAAAACCTTGAACATAATACGGCGTCTTATCATCAAAACGCTCGTTTCGAAGTCAGTGCAGTCTATGGAGCCATGTATTAATTCACTCACTCACTGACTCGCTCATGGAGCTGAGCCCTTCTTGAGAAACTGACAATTGTGCAGCTACTCAAGAAATTCCCAAAGTTTTATTTTACCCGAAGGTTCATTACCATGTTCACAAGAGTCCTCCACTGGTCCCTATCCTGAGCCAGATCAATCCAGTCCATACTACTCCATCCTATCTCTCTAAGATACATTTTAATATTGTTCGCCCACCTACGCCTTGGTCTTCAAAGTTGTCTCTTTCCTTTTGGCTTTCCCACTAACATTCTATATGCATTTCTCTTCTCCCAAATTCATGCTACATGCCCTTCCAATGTCATCCTCATTGACTTGATCATTCTAATTATACTTGGAGAAGAGTAAAAGTTATGAAGCTCCTCATTATGCAGTTTTTTCCAACCTCCTGTCACTTCATCTCTCTTCATCCAAATATTCTCAACACCCTGTTCTCAAACACTCTCAGTCTATGTTCCTCCCTTAATGTCACAGACTAAGTTTCACACCCATACAGAACCAGAGGCAAAATTATAGTTTTTTATATTCTAATTTTTATGCTTATATCTTAATTAAGTAATAAATTACCCTTTCTTTTCAAGAAAAGAAGTCGGTATAGCGTTATAACGACGAGTTACAGGCCGGACCCGGATGGGTCAAGACTTTTCTCCACACCGTCCAGTCCGGTTCTTGGGCCCAAACAGCCTCCTATTCAGTGGATACCGGGGACTCTTTTCCGGAGGGTAAAGCGGCCAGGGCGTGAAGCTGACCACTCACCTTCATCTAGTACCGAGGTGAAGAATGATGGAGCTGTACATCCACTTCTCCCATATGTAGTCATGGCGTTGTGCTTAATCACTAAATACAGATGCAACTTTACCTTCGCCTTAGGCTCAGGAGCAGAAAGAACACAATTTGTGATACGAGCCAGAGCCAATAGTAGGAATGCATCAAAATGATGCCTAATGAAACATATCCATAAGCAATCCGCCGTAGGGTCTGTATCGGGCCGCGCCTTAGCTCAAGCGGTTAGTCGCTGGCTTCGCGGGTCCAGTGGGATTTGTGGTGGACAAAGTGGCGCTGGGGCGGGTTTTCTCCGAGTACTTCGGTTTCCCGTGCCAATCTTCATTCCACCAAATCCTCCATCATCATAATCACCCGGGGCAGGCTACAATAGGCCAATCAGTGGCTGCAGTGCCGAGTGGATCCAGTTGGACTCCACGCCCATCTAGGTTCTGTATCAGTATGGCAGAGTAAAACACGAGAGAAAGGTCTAAAATGGCTGCTGTTATGGCCCAAAGGTTATGTACAAGTATATATGTTTCTTTTTGCGTAATTTGGAATAAGGGTATCTAGACTTTAAGATTAAGAAATAGAAATAATGAAACGTACCAGGAAGCTTGTGTTTGCAAAGAAGTGTAACAGGCAATCGCTTTGTAATCAGAATGTTAGCGCGACGGCGTAATAACGCTGACATTGAGGAAGAAGCTATATGAAGTGGGCCATAAAAGCAATGGCATAAGGAAAACGCTGAGTCGGCGAGGGCGGTAGACCTGAAAGAGCCAACCCCTATCAATAAACAGCCAATGAGTGGGCCACACCGACCCAAAATTACGTCAGGATGGTCGGGTGAATATACCTATGGAACCCAGCGAGTCAGCAAAATGAGGGTACATAAACTCTAGAGGAATCAATCAAAAAACTTTTATTATTAAGAAAGTAGTCTTCTGGGATTTGGCACCGTGTATATGTGGTGCTAATCGACGTTTCGGAGGAAAGTAGCAGACTGTGCACAGTCTGCTTTTACCGGTTCTCACGGTCTCTCCGCTTGCAGATTTCTTATATTTTTTCTTCTACCCTGAAGATGGAGGCGATACGTTCCTCCGAAACGTCGGTTAGCACCACATATACACGGTGCCAAATCCCAGAAGACTACTTTCTTCATAGTCACCGCCGTGAAACCTCAAATCTTACAACTTTTATTATTACTTGTCAAAGAGTCAGCCGTAGGCTATCGCCGAGAGAGTGATGGCGATGAGTAGTTGTTGGTTGGTGATGGCGGCCTGTCTCCTCAGCTCAAGTAAGTAGACTTACTTCATATAGCCATGAACATTAAGTGTGATAATATTAAAGCGCAAACCCGAGGGAGAGAAAGTGAAGACTAGATGGACTAGGTTTACTGAGAAAGAGAGATAGAGGGATAGGATACCCAATAGCAGGGTGACAGGAGTGAACTAATGTGTGCTACAGGATATTAACCCACATGTAATGCGAACCGACGAACGCTGGCAAATGGTGTATATATTATGTATATAGCGACATAGGTGAATAGAGTAGGATAGAAATGCGCTGTGATGTTAATTGAACCTAGCATTCCCTCAAGTGTTGTCGTCTCTCCTGCCGAATCCAGCCTCCCTCCGAATCCTCCAGGACAATTGCAAACTCAAGCCAAGGCGGCAGATACGTCAGTGATTGTAAATTTACCTGAGCCCCTCCCTAAGACTTAACAAGATGGTGGCAGCACGACGCCTTGGTGGCAGTGGCGGGACACCTCCACGCCCCCCTGTCACCACGGCAGAACAGCTGCCATACGAAATGTTTTATTGCGTCATATAACACACGGACGTGTTGTTATAGGAACGAAACAAGGAATTCAGATGGTCGGTTTCTAAGCAATTGCGTTTATACGCTCCCTTTATTGTGGAAAAATGGCCGCATACAAAACGAATAAGTTGACGTCATCCCTCTGCATTGTCAATTCCGAACAATGAATAAGTTGTGCGGAATGTAACGTCATCATTGCTTTTGTACATGCTGATGACTTGGTCGTGAAGAATTAGGACATTTCGTCAGCACGGCTGGCACTGCCCCAATGGGCCATTGGTCAACCCCAGCACATAACACCGAAATTACATTTCTTGATGCACACAGCGTAAGCATTACACAAGCACGGTCGGCTGTCCGATAACTTCGTGATTAAAGACGCAAGGAACATTTGCATACCAATTGTCCCTTAGGGCTTGAGGCTCCCTCATCCACTACTCATTTTGATTATGTTCCTCATTAAAAAGAATGTCTTCAGAGTCTAAATGTTTAACAAGTAAGATTTAAGAAAAAATTAACAAAAAGTATTTCTCTAGACGAGTCCATGTTCTATACGTATTACTACGTATAACGAAACAATCCTATACAATTTGTAAATTTCCGAAAATCCAAATATTTGTTAATTTTCGATAAGTTCAGAAAATCCAAGACGTTAAAAGATTTTTACACTTTCGAAAAAAAAATAAGTTTCGGGAGTAATAAATCTGAAAAACATTACATAGCATCAAATATCTAATTATTTTAAATATATTATATTCGATTATTTTCGAAAATTTTGTAACTTAGAAATTTTTGAGAAACTTTAAAACTGTGAAAACGAAAAATCATCGAAATATTGGGGGAAAACGGAAGTTCAGAAATCTAAAATATTAAAGTAATTCAGACCATTCTGAAATAATTAGAAAATCCAGTATTAACAGGGCAGCTCGTCTTCAGTTTTTTTTTTTTTAGTTTCTTGGGGTGGGGTGAGACTCAGTCCACTTGGTACGTCGGCCACTAATTGGCCTATTTTACCAGCCCCGGATAATAGATGAATGTGGAGCAGTCAGTGGAGTGAAAATTGGGAGGGTAAACCGAAGTTCCACTTTGTCCACCACAAATCCCACATGATCTGACCCGGGCTCGAACGCGGACCGCCACGGTGGGAAGCCGGCGACTGCCTGAGCTATGGTACAGCCTCTGTCTTCAGTCGCTCTGACAACGTAGTCAACGTTGGGAGTTATCCTCTGTTTATGTGCAGACCCTGAGATGTGGAACGCAATTGGTGGCGCCATGTTATGGGTTATTCTCTGAAAACATTAAGCGCGCGTGAGACATAGAGACTGCATATTCAGGTAGCCGGTTTCAAGGTTATGTTACTATGATGCAGACACATTCTATTTTCTTATGCTGCTAAGCTTCAACCCCGTAAGACAGGACTTATGATAGGGACAAAATAGAAACTGTTACACCGGTAATAACGCATGTCAGATGTCTGCAGAAGCAAAATCGTTGAAAAAAATGTGAGGGCGACAAAATAATTAGTTATATTGTCACGTGTAGGTTGGTAGGTGTGACGAAAATAACGAGTTCTAGTTCGGATGATTGGATTTATTAGCACCTTGATTACAAGTTCTCTTAATCACACTTAAATACATTGCTATCGCCGATCTATACACTTTCTAGTTCACCGTTGGACACGCACTAGGGTTGTCCGTCTTCACTAGTCGTATCCTGGCAACGGATTTCAGTATAGAAAATAGCACTTCAAATCACTATGAAGTCTTCTTGTCTGCTGCGCTCTGGAACCTTGGAACTAAAAACTCTTCTGAATTCACTCCTCCTGCTTAAGACTGCCCCGTAACTGCCCTGAACGATTTCTGTCAATCCCTTACATAACCACGGAACGGACGTGGACCTACACTAAACACATATCACCTCGACACCGTAAGGTATAAGAGGAATGGACTGAGTAAGTAAGTTATACCTAACGTAGCAGGAAGGTGGTTGCTAATGGTAAGACAGAATTTGAAATTAGGAAGTAGTTAGCCTATGTGTGTGAACCACGTGTCACTCTCTTGAGGACAATGGAAGAGAACTTCCCATATTCTCAGGCAGGTTATATGGCAGCCCAGCAGGGAACCGAACAAATATCCTCTACGAACACAATTTTAGGCCGTTGCTCGACAGACGAGTGAGATTCTGTTGTATGTCCAGCAGGCATCTGGACGCCGTACAGAGGCGCCAAATGGTGATATAATTGAATTATAAAGCCGGTTGGCAATGACTGCAAAGGCGCAATCATTTACACATTTTAAATCTGTAATTTGCACTCAGTTGAGACTAAACACAGCCACGTAAAGATAAATGTGCGTGTCTCTATAGTGACAGTACCTAAAGTGAGGCACTGTGGGAACATGACTGACGTCATCGTTAGCACGAACTCGCAACGAAAGTCGAAATCACCTAATTAAAAGATTTTACATTACAAGTAGTCAGAGATGTTGACGCGTTGAGGAGTTCTGTCACCGCCGTGTAGTGCATTGAAAGTCATCTGAAGTTTCGGAGGAACATTTCGCTTCCATCTTCATGGTCGAAGAAGAAGCCAAGAAAGAAACTAGCACGAAGCAGATAACAAGCAGTAGAAACCAGCAGGAAGCAGGTAGCAAGCAGAGCTCTGCTTGTTGTCTGTTTCACGTTGGCCCCTTGCTTGGATTATTCTCAGCCCTGAAGATTACGGGGGCGATATTCTCCTCTGGGAAGTTCGTTGACTTTCAACAGACCACAGAGCATTTATCCCAGAAGACAGAACTCTTCACAACCACTGCTACGAGGGCTACAAATCTTACAATTTTTTGAGGTTTTCCTCAGTCAGACCAAATGAAAACTGTTCTATTTTTTGCAATATCAGGGTTTCCTTTATTTTCTTGAGTCCCTCCACGCGAACGCCGTGATAGCCATGAAATTAGTTCAAGACCGTTTCCTGCCACATCCTTTCAAATTCATCATTTATGAATCATGCCACAATTCTACGGTACAGAGTCTCTGCTACCGACAGTGTCGTTAAGTAAACACGTACATTATAATAATGTTTGTTAGAATTTCCAAACATGTCTGTTACACAAACACTAAACATCTGAAATTAGCGATTATAGTGAGAGCACATCCTGTTCTCCAAGTATAACTAGAATGATCAAGTCAAGGAGGATGAGATGGGCAGGGTAGGTAGCACGAATTGGGGAGAAGAGGAATGCATATAGGATATTGGTGGGAAAGCCAGAAGGAGAGAGACCACTGGGAAGACCAAGGCATAGGTGGGTGGACAATAATAAAATGGATCGTAGAGAGATAGAATGGGATCGGATGGATTGGATTGATCTGGCTCAGGATAGAGACCAGTGGAGGGCTCTTGTGAACACTGTAATGAACCTTCGGGTTCCATAAAATGCAGGGAAATTCTTGTGTAGCTGCAGAATTGGCGGCTCCTCAATAAGGGCTCAGCTCCATAAGTAAGTAAGTAAGTAAGTAAGTAAGTAAGCAAGCAAGTAAGTAAGTGAGAGCACATCAGACAACAATTTCTCAGACATCTTCACGTAATTTCACGTAAAGAGTAGTCGCAATTGACTGACTTAGTGCTAACACATGGGGAAAAATATGCAGTAGTGTTCACTACTTATTTTAGTCACTAAAAATGAAAAGAGAGATTAAAGCCCAGCTTGTGGCAGTATGCCATTATTTTCAGCTGCGGTATGTAGAAAGCGTTTCGCTAACCACTGGTTTAGAAACACTGTTGTATACCTCGGAGTAAAAGAAGAATGGCAAATAGTGAAGTTCCTGCATGGTAATGCGAAATAGTAGATCGGGTTATACTGATACTGCTGTGAAGTTTGCTGAAGTTTACGCAAATAAATTAATTAGTAGGAATGATTTAATTGCCTTTATCACATCTCTCGACTGTCTTGAGCTAGCGGAATATAGTTTTCAAATTATTACGTGTTATTAAATTAATTAGCACAATGATGTCAATTCATTTTTAAGAATTTGATATTCACTCAGCTGATAACAAATTCACCCCCACCCCTTATAAAACCCAAATGTTCTAAGGTGTTCACATTATCCCTACCATGAACTCCGCCCGGAGCCACACGAAGCCAACCCGCACTTTCTCAGCCAATTTCTTTAAGTTGTGTTTTAATATTATCCTTCCATCTACGGCTAGGCCTCTCAAGCAGTTTCTTTCATATTGTTATTATTATTATTATTATTATTATAATCACCATCACTATATCATAAAGATGAATACTGTACGTGTTTTTGAACTGTGTGGCAACCGGGGACAGCAAGATTTTGATCTGAATAAAAAAGAAACTTCTTGGTTAAGGCAATCACCATTCCATCTTCCGAGTATCCAGTACGAAGGAAGCGGAAGACAAAATTGCGACATGTGTCACATATTCGTGTGGGCAGGTTTGACGTCATTGATGCTGATTTGTGGCG